TGCATCCATCCCAAATCTGCGTCCACCTTAGGTATTCGGTATAATTAATATTCATTTATGTTATTCCAGAGTGCCACCTAGCGGCGGAGTTGTGAATGTCTCGGAGGGAATTGGAAATCCTGTTTATGACGAAGATCGACCTTTAGAAGGGGTAAGACATGTTATCAATTGAGTGTATAATATAGTGCCTCATTCTGAAAGCTGCCTCATTCTGGAAGTTGCATCATTCTGAAAATTCCATCAGTCTGAAAATTGCCTCATTCTGATTGTTACCTCATTCTAATAGTCACCTCATTTCGAAAATTGACTCATTCTGACATTTTGCTCATTCTGTTCATTCTGATATTTTTCTAATTCTGTTCATTCTGATATTTTGCTCATTCTGTTTATTCTGATATTTTTCTAATTCTGTTCATTCTGATATTTTGCTCATTCTGTTCATTCTGATATTTTTCTAATTCTGTTCATTCTGATATTTTGCTCATTCTGTTTATTCTGATATTTTTCTAATTCTGTTCATTCTGATATTTTGCTCATTCTGTTCATTCTGATATTTTTCTAATTCTGTTCATTCTGATATTTTGCTCATTCTGTTTATTCTGATATTTTTCTAATTCTGTTCATTCTGATATTTTGCTCATTCTGTTCATTCTGATATTTTTCTAATTCTGTTCATTCTGATATTTTGCTCATTCTGTTTATTCTGATATTTTTCTAATTCTGTTCATTCTGATATTTTGCTCATTCTGTTCATTCTGATATTTTTCTAATTCTGTTCATTCTGATATTTTGCTCATTCTGTTTATTCTGATATTTTTCTAATTCTGTTCATTCTGATATTTTGCTCATTCTGTTCATTCTGATATTTTTCTAATTCTGTTCATTCTGATATTTTGCTCATTCTGTTTATTCTGATATTTTTCTAATTCTGTTCATTCTGATATTTTGCTCATTCTGTTCATTCTGATATTTTTCTAATTCTGTTCATTCTGATATTTTGCTCATTCTGTTTATTCTGATATTTTTCTAATTCTGTTCATTCTGATATTTTGCTCATTCTGTTCATTCTGATATTTTTCTAATTCTGTTCATTCTGATATTTTGCTCATTCTGTTTATTCTGATATTTTTCTAATTCTGTTCATTCTGATATTTTGCTCATTCTGTTCATTCTGATATTTTTCTAATTCTGTTCATTCTGACATTTTGCTCATTCTGTTCATTCTGATATTTTTCTAATTATGTTCATTCTGATATTTTGCTCATTCTGTTGATTATGCTCATTCTGACATTTTAATTATTCTGATTGTTGTCTCATTCTAATAGTTGCCTCATTCCAAAAATTGCGGATCCCCATTGTATATAACCCGATTTTTTTATCATCCCCTGTTGGTGCTATTTGATCCTCAAGTTTGATCCTGGGATTTTCTAAATAACTCCCTTGAGAAGCACAATCTCTCACGATTGACCAAGTGCAGGTCAAGTTTACATAAAAAACATTCAGTAAAAGTACATTATAATGTTCGATCAGGAACGTTTTAAAAGAGTTAACACAAGTAAAGTTTTACATGGGGCAACTTTACATACAGAGTTCCAAAAATTTACGATTTGATTAAAATATGAAGCCTTAAAAGTTCTTGTTTTAAAACAAGAGTGGAATTACTACTAAGACGTGTTCGCGGCCACGAGTAACAAAGGAGACATAATCTTGCACATTTAAATCATATACAGTCCAGTTTTATCCATTGTGGTCAAATTTCCAAACCATCTCGTTCTTGCTACTTTTAATCCCTTGACTGTGTCCGACTCTTCTAATCTTCTCGTTTGCAAGATTGTTCTTGGAGTGGTATCCCTGCCACAGTAAATATTAAGATATATTTACTAACAACTCTTGAACTCTTTTTAGTTTTCGATGAGCGATGTTGATACGAATATGTTTGTCACAGATGATTCCTTTACAGTACCGGTATGTTTATATGCGCACCTTTTAAAATGAGTTTTCGGGTCAATATGTAACATATCCCAAGTTCGAGGTTTATAAAACCGACCTATTTACTAGTTAAAGGAGGTTTTCCAACAATTTCAGAGACTTTCTATCAAGATTTTTCAAGTTTTGTCGACATTCACGGGTTACAACCTGTATACATCCCGCGGTACATCAAAGAAAACCGACTCAACTAGTGAATAATGCGTTCTAAACACTAGATATTGAAACCCGACCGCTCGTGTGTGCTTTCACTGGTAAATTTAAGACGAAATGCAGGCCACAGCATGATGACTAATTTCTTGCCAGAAAGTGCAAGACTTCCTTTAGGCGTGTTTACACCTGCGATTTCTAGTGTGATTTTTATCTTCTGATGGATGTGAAGGAGTGGATGAGTTACAAATGCTCAGATGAAGGAACATGCACTCAGAACATTCATAACACATCTACTCGTTCACATCCATCAGAAGAACAAAATCGCCCGAGAAATTGCAGCAACAATTGACCATTTGCGTAATAGACTAAATTTTGAACTAAACAAGTCTAGACAAAAATTGCATCACAGCTTGAAAGAGCATCACAAAATTAGTAATATTCCAAAGTGTCGTTGCAAAATGTTGTAAAATGCGGAAAATATAGCCTTGCGAAATTTGCAATTTTCAGTCATTTTAGATTACAAACCGGAAATTGACAGCCTCGAAGGGTTTGGGGCTGTCAATTTCCCGTTTGTAATCTAAAATGACTGAAAATTGCAAATTTCGCAAGGCTATATTTTCCACATTTTACAACATTTTGCAACGAAACTTTGGAATATTACTAATTTTGTGATGCTCTTTCAAGCTGTGATGAAATTTTTGTCTAGACTTGTTTAGTTCAAAATTTAGTCTATTACGCAAATGGTCAATTGCAAGTGTATAAACGGGCCATTAGTATTACCACGGTATGGATTTGTGGTGGTATCACACCAAAATGCCGATCATTGGCCATTGGCTTCATTGAAGCCTGGTACGTTTACACTATCAAATCACTTCCTGTGATCTTTTGCATCGGTAAATTCCAAGTTTTGAAGGATTTGTAAGAAATGTTTGAGGGAACTCAATCAGTGTTAAACACTAAGTCAATTCCCTCAAACATTTCTTACAAATCTTTCAAAACTTGAATTTACTTCTGCGAAATTCCTACTGATAAATAGCCGATTCACTATCCAGCCCTACCCTTTGAGATCAGTGGTCAATATACATGTTTTAATTATTCCAGAGCGAGAAAGGTGGCGCTGGCGGGACCTCGATGGCTAACCCACTATACCAAGACCCATACTATGGTGAAGACTGAAAAATACCCATTAAATTTAGCAAATTCCATGTCAAAGAATGATCCAAAATAGCATTTTTAAAACAGAACATATAATAGGTAATAATTTTAGAATGACATATAAATTAAAACATATAAATTTTAGCACTATGAATTATTTTTAATGATATATACTCAATTTTTACCAAATACATAATTATAAATATAAATTGTCAATGTAATTATAAAGTAAATTAAGTAAAAAGCAATTACCGACAAAGAAGATTGATTATAAGTTTTATAAAGGCACCCAAACGAAATACTTTTTAGATAGAAATTGTAAGATTACCAAAAAGACCCGACGAACTCCGCATGGATAATTGAATTTTTTATCTTTTTTAGCCCTGTAATAAATCAGAATTTTTAATAAAATCTTTTTAACCTTTTTCTGAAGGTCGTTTTTTTGACTCGCTGCCAATTATTTTATGCGATTTTAATGCACATTTTCATTGTTTTGAACAGGTTATTATTTTCAAGAATCGACATGCGCAAGTCAATGCAACGTCATTATTTAATGTCAGGAGGTTATTATTTTTAATAATGACCTCCAATATTTAAAATAATGACCCCGATTTTTCGCTTGAATAAAAAATAAACCATTGTGCGTTACAACTTTGCTTTAAAGCAAGTTTTAATTACACTACAAAAATTTCCATTTTAATTTAACTACAACGTATAGAGTTTTAAAAAACTAGGGCTTATTAACTATTGTAATGTTGCAATTGCCGCCACTAATATTTAAAACAACCGACCCCATTCCATCATCACCCTTCTCTATTGGCGGGCTACTTTCCGCCGTTGCACCCTTCTCTGACCAAGAGAATTTTATCAACCAAACGCATTTCCCTTCCATTTTGAGAGATCTCCTGGCGCCATTATGACCAAGCGTCGAACATTCTGTATGCCCACATCGCTTTCCTCTTAGTATTTTCTGGGATGCTTCGCGAAGCCAACTCTATCATACTTTTACTGCTGCAAATCTCAAACCGGTCAGACGTATTCTGTTGCTCTATTGCAAAATATAAATAAATTCAAATATTAATCGCTATGATTAATGCTTGTTACTAACTTTTAAACAAAACTTAGCTAAGACAATTTTCACCTTTTCTATCCAACGTGCTTTTCCCAGGTGCATTACATCGCCGCTCACTGACACTGTCTATCTGATTTGGCCTTTCCAGTGAAATTCTCCGCTCTGCAAACAAATCCAATGACTGAGAAAGTGTTCCATCCATCCAAGTGGCCCATCGTCTTCCAAATCTAGACAGTCGCAATCCCAATCATTGGTCTTTTCAACTTCAAATTCATCGTCATATCCTTCTCCAAACAAACTAAAATCACGCTTTCTCGAACAAGACATCCTCACTCCACAAATATCAATCAAGTAATAAAAAGGTAGCTGTTGAAACAACACAGCCCAGGAATGCGCATACAAAACACAAATATAGTGTGAAAAATAATAGTACCACAACAATGAACTTGTAACTATCTTAATAGTTTTCTTTGTTCATAAACACCATAATGTGCATTAAGTCGGATAATACCCTCGCTCTCGGTATTATTAAAAATAATGACCTCGCGCTACGCGCTCGGTCATTATTTTTAATAATACCTCGAGCTTGGGCATTATCCTATACATAAAGGCATAACGTCAAATATTTGTCAAAACAACGGATGACTTGATAGCATTGAGAACAGAGGGATTTTCAAAACAATGAAAAGAAATCTCTGAATCGTTATGCATTGTTGTTTTGCTGTTAAGTGGTAGGTAAGCCGTAAGGGCACAAGTTTTGCCGTTCGTATTTACCAAATTTGTTGAACATTCATTTCATGTCAAGTACGCCTTTTGTTTGCCGGAACCATAGAAGTATTTCTTGACTCTTGTACACTTGTCAGGTTTTCGTTGGCCACCGTACACACGAAGAAATATTCCTTGTCCAAAACCTGGCATGCCTAGCTTTGGAACAAGACTCAGGCTTGGCAAGGGAAAAATTGTGAATTCTTTGCCGTACACACAAGCAAATAAAGCTTCTCAAAGCAAAATTACCATCTGTACGAGGCCTTACTGTGTGAATGCATGCGTGGCCAGTCCCAATGGTATTCAATGAACAAAGAAACGCAAAGTTTTTTATGTCATCGTCTAAATTTGAATTGGAAAACACTGAATGAAGGAATGCTAATGAACCATGTTGTCCTCGCTTTCTACACAACAGCAGACCTCAAGAAGTCAAATCTCGAGAAGCGGTTCTCGGCAATTTGGCCCAATAGAACTATAGAAGTCTTCTTGATTATCAAGTCATGTCAAGTAACCTATTTAATAAATTTATACAATTGATAAAACACGACAAGTTTTCTTCACAATAATCTATTTAAAGGAATATGTAAAGCTGTCGTCACGCCTGTACGCCAAAGTCCTTAAAATCTCGAGAAAAAGACTTAACAATTTGCTACGGTTGTATTTACAAACGGTGTACGTGTAAATGTGCCGTATAATGGTCGAATTTAGTGTCATGTTGAACTTGGTATACAAGGTAAGCTAGTTACCATCACGCCTGAATCGAGCATGGTCTTACAGAAGCGATGGTGGGATGATAGTTAAAGGTTTTCCGTAGCCTACTGGTTACATACGCTAACAAGTTTTCATGTGACAAGTTTTATTCGCTCGTGTATATAGCCAACTTTGCTAAGCAAGAGTATACACTTATTCAAAAGCTATAGCATACTTGCTTTTGAACAAGTATACACTTTTCTCATTCTCGTACCCAGAGCCCTTCTTACGCGCGGTGCGACGAGGGGCTCTGGCCAAATCCATATTCCGAACTGGCATCTGGCTAGTTCTAACACCGGATATTGTTTTCTTACCATGTTTTTATGGTATCCGGTTATGGATTTGGCCAGAGCCCCTCGTCGCACCGCGCGTAAGAAGGGCTCTGGGTACGAGAATGACACTTGTCTCAGAAAAAATTGGCAAAGAAGTGATACTTAGCAAATTAGCTCAGCACAGCAGCACTTTTTGAACAATAAAGCTACTATTTCAAGCTAACCAAACAGTGTTACATTGATAATTGATAATTGATACGATCAATAATAGTCTACAAACTTTCTTTACAATCGTTTATTTGAATGATTTTATTCTGGCCATTGTCGACATTGTCGATCGTTGTGTTACCAGAAAACCAGAACTCAAAAACTCTTTTGTGGATAGTAGCATGGGCCTGGGGACGAGAATGCATCGCTGTAGAGCCCAAGCCCCAACTCGGTCGGTTTAAAAAGCGCGCGAAATTTAAGAAGCGAAAACAAAATGGCTTGCCGGTAGACGAAATGTTCACATTTATTGCCAGAAAAAGAATGACAAAGCCAAAAAGGTAACGAAATAACGACTATTTTCGACAGGTATTTGTTATACATTTTATCTTTTGCACTGGCCGCCAGTATTATGGCTTTCTTGTTGGGGTTTTTAAAATTTGAATGTACTGTGGTCTGTGACTGATAAATAAAACAACTCTTGGATTTGGCTTACGAATATCAACTATATGATATCAAGAATTACTTCGACCATGTCAACATATTATATTTTGCGTTTCAATGGCACATTACCACAAAAAATTGAATTACAATGTGTGCTTAGAATAATAACGTATTTTAAAGTTATAAAAAGTTACAATAAAAGTATAAACGCTATATTTACAATTTAAAATTTAGATGTAGGAAAGGTATATAGATTGTTTATATGTATGTATATATATATTGTGAAAATTGGTATAACGGCTAATCTTGTCGGCATTTTGCATCATAGCACTCATGTAAGAAAGCAAAATTCTTTAAAAATCTTATGCTTTGTCATATATGTTGAAGATTAAATTAACACATTTTTAACCCAGTACACCCTCGGCAGTATTATGTACTCCCCTAGCTTGGCCTTGTGCGGAATTTATTAAACGAAACAAAATATAATTATACGCCCACGGGGCCACGTAGCAGAATATGCAAATCAATTTCGTTCACTGATATTAGTGCAAAGTTCCGTAAATTATCAAAACAATCGATTTTCAAGTTTCTTTAAATTATAGATACGAATGTAAACTCTTTGCACCAAAATAACCGTACCAACTTGAATCTGATAATTAAAACTGATAACTTGAATTAAAAAAAAGATAAAACTAGCAAACCTGTGCAAGCTGTGTGCGTTTCACCATTGTTTGCATCAGTGAGATTATTTTTCATTTTGATTTTCGTCACATCAGTATTATATACAAAGGCTTGCATTAGTTTCTTCATGTAATGCTCAGGAAATATACAAATATGCCATATACGTTACGATATGATACGATTGAAAGGGAAAATGACTTTTATAAATCTTTTTTCAGCTAAGATTATCAGTCGTCTTTGCTTACATTTGGCAGGTGTCTTTATGTTTTAACTATATATATAATTTTCGTTTTGTATGCGAAGGTGTTGGCTTTGGAATATTATAATATTATTGATTTGTTTTTAAATCCTCCCCGCTTACGAGGACTCAATTGTTGTAAATATTCACATAATTCAGTCTATGACTGCAAAGTGTTTTATTTGAATAAACGAATCTAATCTAAATCGATTGATAGAAAAATGAATTTCCACACTACACAACGTTTGCCGGCTAAAAATTTCGCACGCAACCTGCTTGCAACTCGAGTTGTACTGTGTAATCAAGCACACAACTCACCTACGACAACGTGAGCGAGTCGTGTGCTTGATTTACACAGTACAACTCAAGTTGTAAGCGGGTTGCATGCGACAGATTTAGGCAAAAGTTGTGTAGTGCAAAACCGCGTGAAATGAATATAACTGGAATATACTGAGTGAATTTGATGGAATATAACTGTGATTAATTTACAAACTGCCAATGTCTTTTTCAGTTGAAGCCAAATCTGCGTGTTTATGCTTCGCGAGACCAGTTCTGGGGGCGAGCATGCAGTCGTTTTGATTAATAAGAAAACAGTAATCTACTAGGAAATTTTACCTGAATAAATGCATTGTCATTGATAGAACGTTTTCATCGCAGTTAAAAAGATTTTTTGTAAATGTTGAACCGGTTTTCAAGAATACATATTTATGTTGATGGATTGACCGCGTTCGTTCGCATGCGGGAAAAGACTGGGACTGTCCTTCCAAGTTTGCCTAGCGTTTCAGTTATATTCATCTGAAACGAGATTTTGAAGCTTTCTTTACTTGTCTTTTCGCCCCGTGCCGGAATCGATGATTCTAGCTTTTGACTAAATTTTGATCTCGGCAAGAAGAACAAAATCCATCACCACAGCTAGAAAGAGCATGTTAAAATTAGTAAAATTGCAAAGTTTGGTTGCGAAATGTTGTAAAATGCGGAAAATATAGTCTTGCAAAGTTCGCAAATTTTGTATACTTTTATATTGCGTGCGGAAATTGCTATAAAATTTGCAAACTTTGCAAGGCTATATTTTCCGCATTTTACAACATTTCGCGGCCAAACTTTCAATTTTACCCATTTTTACATGCTCTTTCTAGCTGTGTTGATGGATTTTGTTCTTCTTCCCTAGATCAAAATTTAGCCCTATTACTGGAATCATGCATTCGATAAGTTCGCTATTTTGTTATTTACAGATAAAAATCATTGGTCATTTTCCAGATGGACTGTATTGTAGTATAACAGCTGCTGAACTGGGCGTGAAATTTGGTAAGAGGCAAATTCTATCATACGTCTTTATTACGCGATGATACGCGGGTCTTTTGAAATGTTGTGATAAGGTTTGACTTGAAAGAATCGACACGTTGAAAATTAGTTATATATTCATGACGCCCTGTTTTGTGCTGATATAACCATTATCAGTAAAATACAAAATTACATGGTGTGTATGTTTGAAGTAGCCGCGTTCAGCCCCGCGATCAAACGAGATGAGAGTTGATGAGAATTAGCAGTCACGCATTGTTATACGGAAGAGATTATTTCGCTGGCCTCAGAGTGACAAAACCGGTAACAAAGCAACGGTTTTACTAACACTAACGCTACTCCAAACACCAACTCTTATCCTAACCCTAACCTAACCCTACTCCAAATTTGTTTCTAAACCAATCTTGGAAAAAAAGTTTGACGAAATGTCATTCTGAGGTCAGCGAAATAGTTGATACCTTGTTATATTATTAAAGTCTTTATTGTCTAGAGTCACAATAGACGTGCAACTTTACAAATGTCAAATTCCTAATTATTACAGTTAAAAAATTGATCTATCCTAATTAATTATATGAAAGTTAAAAATAGTTAAAAAGACATCTATTTATGAAGGATCGTTTAAATCGTTCCGTTTTAATTTGAGGTAAAATAAAGTTATGTTCCCATCCTTTGTTTACACGCAGGAAGCAATTCATGTAGGGCATGTTCTGGATTCGATACGATTTTGCTAAATAATTTTCTGTCTCTCTCCTCGATCACTTCAGATATCTTAATACTCTTTGTCGTATATCCATAACGATAAGCCCGCCGGAAAAACTTGTCTATACGATCCAAATATTTCTTTTGAAGTGCAGAACCCCACACTTCAATGCAATAGTAAAAGAGTGACATGATTAGCGAATCGAATAATTTGCTTAGCTGATCTGCAGAGTAACCATAGCATCTACACACTCTCAATATGTACATACGCCCACTAGCCTTCGACAGAAGATCATCGATATGAAGATCCCAGCAACATGGATTTTCCTGAAATGTGACACCTAGTAATTTCAGCCAGCTCTTTCGTTCAATGCCTATTCCGGGGGACATTTCAAACTCTAGATTAACAAAAGATTTGATGAGTGTTCCAACTATGTTTTAACTTAAATAGAATACATGATAGTGTTGGGAAAGCTTTAAGAATAGCTCACCAAGGTCACGTGACTGCCAACTCTCATGCACTCGTTTGATTACGCGGGAAAGGTTAGTTCGCTGAACTCAGAATGACATTTCGTCAACTTTTTTCTTGAAGTGATATTTGTGATGTTACTTTGAGTGTATATCCACACCGGGCGAGCTTGAAAAATATGCCTGACCACGGTGGGAATCGAACCTACGACCTTTGGAATACTAGTCCAATGCTCTGCCAACTAAGCTACGTGGTCAGGTCGGTTCGAGTAACTAGTGATATTTCGGAACAGAATCTAGTTCCTTCGATACCAATGTAATCTAGTAATATATATGATTTTTTCTGTGTTCGTGTTGTGTACTCAGGTGAATATGATATTTGTGATGTTACTCTGAGTGTATATCCACACCGGGCGAGCTTGAAAAATATGCCCGGCCACGGTGGGAATCGAACCTACGACCTTTGGAATACTAGCCCAATGCTCTGCCAACTGAGCTACACAGTCTGGTCGGTTCGAGTAAGTGATATTTCGGAACAGAATCTAGTTCCTTCTGAACAGAACCTAGTTCCTTGAAGGTTGGTTTAGAAACAAACTTGGAGCAAGGTTAGGGTTGGAGTTGGTGTTTGTAATAGGGTTAGTGTTCGTGTTAGTAAAGCTGTTGCTCTCGGTTACGTTTTGTCACTCTGAGGCCAGCGAAATAACCCGGCTCGGTCCTTGATGCGCGGGCTTTAAGGTCCATACACGCCGGACGCGATTCGACAACGCGACGGGATTTTTTAGTTTTTGAAAGTTAATAAAACAGCCAATGAGAACACATTTTGAAAGATATGTAGACCAAATAACTCAAAATGTTATACCGCTTCTAAATATTTGGAAAATTTAAACTGGAATCAAAGTTATCGCACAGTGAAAATCCACTAGGCGAATTTGTTCGCGCGAAGCGATTTTTTGCTTTGTCAGCATTGATTTCGCTTGACGTGTAAACCCGCGAATAAATTCGCCTAGTGAAAAATGGGCTATATGGTAGAACTGAATTGTTAGTCATGTATGTGATTTAATTTCGATACATATTAAGACCCGTTTACACTTGCAATTTTCGTTGCGAGTTTAGGTGCGATTTTCTTCTTCTGATTGTGTTATAAATGTTCAGATGAGGCGACATCTGTTCAGAACATCTATATAGCCGTGTTTACACTACGAGCCTAAGCCTGGCCTAGGCCTAGCTTTGGACTAGATTTTTGTAGTGTAAACGCACTTTGGGCCTGGCCTAGGTTAGGAAATGTGGAACACCTGTTCTGATGGCCCCGATTTCCTGACCTAAGCCAGGTCGAAGTGCGTTTACACTACAAAAATCTAGTCCAAAGCTAGGCCAGGCTTAGGCTCGTAGTGTAAACACGGCTTATAACTCATCTACTTGTTCACATCCTTCAAAAGAAGAAAATCGTACGAGAAATCGCAGCAAAATTGCAAGTGTAAGTCAATTGCCTAGTGATTTCGCCTTAGACTAGAAGAATCTTTCCATTTTAAATCAGGTTTTTTTCTGGTCCTTTGTCTCTGCTTAGTGATCAGTTCGCCTTAGACTAGAAGAATCTTTCCACTTTAAATCACGTTTTTTTCTGGTCCTTTGTTTCTGCTTAGTGATCAGTTCGCCTTAGACTAGAATAATCTTTCCACTATAAAATTACTTTTTTTCGCCGGGTTCTTTGTCTCTGCTTAGTGATCAGTTCGCCTTGGACTAGAAGAATCATTCCACTTTAAATCACGTTTTTTTTCGCCGGATCCTTTGTCTCTGCTTAGTGACAGTTTGCCTTAGACTAGAAGAATCTTTCCACTTTAATTAGATTCTGTTCAGGTCCTTTGTCTACGGTTCTTCCTGTAGTAACACTGGATCAAAAGGACGGAACCCTTACTATTCCTTATTGATTGAGAAGAGAGCTATTTCCTCACTTTAGACTTTAGTAACACTGAATCAGTAAGGGATGACCCGATAACTGGGCCTGTATGAAGAACAGTTAGAACTGATAGAGCTATACCCAGTATAATAAAGTTAGTTCAGTTTAGATTTCCTCCTGTAGTAACACTGGATCAATAAAAGATGATTCTCACTGGACCTCTAGGAAGAACAGTTTAGAACTGATAGAGCTATCCAGTATAAATATAGTTAGTTTAGTTTAGGTTTCCTCCTGTAGTAACACTGGATCAATAAGAGATGATCAGTTACTGGACCTCTAGGGAGACTACAGTTTAGAACTGATAGAGCTGTCCAGTATAAATATAGTTAATAGTTTAGAGTTAGGCTTCGATCCTCCTGTAGTAATCGACTGGATCAATAAGGAATGGTAATTACTGGAGAACAATCATTCTCTCGCTAGGGAGAACAGTTTAGAACTGATAAATCTATCCATGCATGAAGTCCATCAAGCATGGGTCATTCTATATTCCAGCTTTATTCAAGTTTCTTATCACGTGGTATGATTCCAGCATTATCGTTGGACGTCACACTAGGACCTTTGAAAATCAGAATGCGGAAATGTAAACGTCTATTTTATTTGAGCGCATTTATTTGCTTTGCCACGCTTTATTTTATTGTGCTTTCTGTTTACATTTCCCGATTTGCTATTCCTTCATACCCACTCATATTTATTCACGACGCCTCCGTGTTAACACAAAAGCTATAAAATGTCTGGCAACCTGTTTTTAAAACCGCGGAAATTCGTCATAAGCTCGCATAATCTTCTAAACATGAGTAAAGGTCAGAAGAATACCGATTATATTGACCTAACAACATTTCCTCTTGTGAATTTCGAATGTAAATTGTGTTTACAATACGGGAAACAAGGCAATGCCAAAGTATTTTCCCATTATTATTTTTGCATATCATATTAATTTGGCCGTTTTTAAGAGATTCAATATTTGAAGGGCTTGAAGTCAACACTTCAATAGCGCAA